GGGGGGGGGGTAAGAGAGAGTGTAGATGTGTGTGTACCTCGTAGTCAGAGAGCTTGATGATCCTGCGCTGCGCCTGTCTCCAGTGCGGCGGTGTAACCGAGCGAGAGCGCGACCTCGAGCGTGACGGCGTGCGGTACCGCTGCTCATGCACACACACAAATTCTATTACTTCTACATCTCAATACATCCATACATTCGCATTTATAATATTTGTAAAATGACACGTATTAAAGTATAAATTAAAACTCTACAAAATAGAACAAGTTTTCCATATTCTGCTAAAAAAGTAACTATTAAACATATTTGAGAAAGTTATTACTACTAATGTTAGTAGATTAACTAGTAGTCTAGTTATACTTACGAAAACGCCGCGTCCTTTTATAATCCTGCCGCTCCTGGTGTATGCGTTGCGGTCGCGCTCGCGGTACCGCATCCTGAATGTTATATATATACATACATACCTCTAATGTCAATTCATTGCACAAATAACTTTACAATAATTATTTTAAAAAAAACTTTTCATAGTGTACACATTTACATGATAAAACATTAAAAAAAAGACAACTAGACTTACATTAAAAATTGGCTAAAGCTGTAAAAGCGAAAATTAAAAATCGAAGATTGTATGACTCCGTTAAAAATGTAACAAATAAACATATATATAACATATGACTACAAAAAAAAACAACTTGTAACCGCGTACCTATCTCTATCTTTCTTGTCATAATCCTTTCCACCTCGCAGTAGGAACTTGGGTTCCGGCACCTCTGGTATCTCTCGAGGGTCAATCTTTGATGTCATCACCAATGGATGAACGGGTTGTTCAATCTCTTGACCATCCGCTGAAGACTCCGACTGATGTCTGGAATATTGTTTTTTTATTTTTATTATGTAATCAATCTATCAAAAATTTAAAGAAGTATACTTTCATTATAAACAGCAGAAATATGATTTTTCTAACTTTAATTTTTTTAAGCTTAGACATTGATTTAATTGATAAAAGTGTTTATTAAATATTTACCTCTTCTTTTTCTTCTCTTTTTTCTTCTTCTTATCCTTCTTCTGCGAATGATCAGAATCGCCATCACTTTCCTCTTTCGCCTTTTCCTTATCTTGCTTATGCTTTTTAACTGTCCAAGATGAGAAACTAATTTCAGACTAGAGCTAGTATTTGTATACTAATAAGGAGATTTAAGACTCAACAAAAAGAACTGTGATATTCTGCATTTTATAAGTTGAGTTATATAAACCTATGTTGATAATATTTTGCACCTCTTCTACGCATACAGTTACCTGTCTTGAGCCTGACGAGTTGTCCGCAGGAGGTGACGAGCACGTCCTGCAGGGGGCGCGCGTTGCGGTCCACCGGCAGCGCCTCCAGCTGCCGCACCAGCGCCGCGCCCGCAGCCACCTGCCCGAACACTACGTGCACACTGCAATAAACACATGCACACATTTTATTTATCCATATAACTATTTTTGTGGTAAAATAAATTAAGTAAATTAAATGTCATATGATGTAATGTCTAGATTCATCAACCAGCCCCTATTGTATTCTTAGATAGATGATTTTGGTTCAAGGTTAAAATTCCCCTGAATCTAAGGCAAAATTAAACTTAGATGACTCCAAAATATTGGTGAAACAATATTCTTACAAATTTTTTCTTTAATAGAATGGATGAAAAAGGGCCCTTAGTGTATTAATACAAATAAAAATAAATATAAGTGACTTACTTGTCGAGATGCGGGGCCGGCTGTGTTGTTCTACAACACACAGAACACAACAAGAACGATAGCGGGCAGCGCGCGCACGTCGCCGCCACGCCAGCGCCCTCTACACACACAACCGCGCGTCAACCTCTGCCCACCCCAATACTACACAAATTCCTCAACTACACATACAATCTTTTAAGTTAATGGAATTTTTTACAGATGGTGTTCATGTGCCCCAATGACAATCTGACAAAATACTTTACAGCCTGTGATAAAATTCTAAATTGTTTTATTATAGAATATTCTTTTTGTAAAGGCGGATATCACCTTGTTCAGTTATGGTCGCCAGCCAGTAATAACAATCAACTTAACATTAGACAAACCAATAAATCTGCCCATTATTCTATAAAAAAAAATCTAACAGTAATACCTAATTATGCTTCATAGCTTCATTAACATCTTGACTAATTGTTCTCAGTGGTTACATCTGAACATGCTACTTAAAGTTCAACAGATAATTATTAAATATTTTAAAACAACTCTGGTTTGAGTTATAACTTTAATGTAAACAGAATGCATTCTCAACTCCTTTCTGAAAACAACTTAAGCTTACAGATTCATGAAAATCTTTTTGTAAGTATATCATCAGCTCATAAACATCCAAACCAAGAGGTTCAGAGTCTACACAAGTCAGGGGTGACTCACCCTTTACACCACAACTTACATAAAGAATTGAGATCCGTTTGTATCCTTGCCCCTGTTGGCCATAGATAAAAGATAGGGCCGATCATGTTTAAGTTCAAATGTCTCATCTGAAAATAAATCGCAACAAATTTCTTTATGTTATTTCAGACATTTCAGGTTTTATTTCTATTTAATATTGTCTTATAGTGACTGTCAAGGGTACATCCACAAATGTGAACAGCTCACCTTCAAAGGTTCCTCCATATATAGACTCTCCGCCTGTCCCATTAGCGTTAGTGAAGTCACCTCCTTGTATCATAAAGTCTTTGACCACTCGATGAAACACCATACCCTAGCAAATAAATCTTCTTTAAGAACTGATTTAAGGGGAACATAGTTTTTATATATTAGAGAAAATTGTAAAGAAATGGACAAGGCAATGGCAGAGTACACTTAACCTAAAAATCTATCAGTAGTACCCAAAACTTATTCTAGTGTTAGCACTTATTTTAGTAGAAAAAAATCGAACAAAATTCACTGAGTATAAACATAAGTAGGAGTAACAATTTAGTGTTTGATACATTGCAAAAGTATACCTTATATGTTAACGGTTTCCCAGTTACTTTCCCAACACCCATATCACCAGCGCATAAAGCACGGAAATTTTCCGCAGTCTTTGGAGCCACATCACTAAACAATTCAAACACGATTCGTCCAGAATGCAAGCCGCCTATTGAAATGTCCATAAAAACACGCTCACGCTCAGTTTTTTCTTCACCGTCGACAGTCATTTTTAATAAGTTTACAATTCAAGTATTGACTGTAATTAGTTGTAAATAACTTTGGTATCAATTAATTAACCCAAAAAACTTTTTGACGCATAAATTAAATAACACTTCATGTAGTTCTTGGAGTTCTTGGCAGTAGATATTTCCTTTTCGTCCATTAAACTCATTAAAGTCATAGATTATATAAAATCTAGATGACATTTGTATTGTCTATTTACTTTTCTTATCGTTTTCAATCTGTGCCAGGTGCGTTGTCTATGGTGATAAATAGAAAAAGTTCGATTTGGATTGTTTGTGACGCTATCAAGGTTTTAATTATTCATCTGCTTAGTTACGTAGTAAAATAACTGTAAATATAGATAACTCCAATTCCTCTTTGCGTTGAAATACTGTAATTAAATATTCTGATACTAATTTAAAAAGTGGAAATGTTGGGATCGGGCGACGGCGGTAGTCACATTATTAGGTTACGCGGTTTGCCTTTCTCTACAACAGTAGAAGATGTATTAGATTTCCTAAGCGGAATCAACGTGTTAAATGAAAAAGAAGGTGAGAAAAACAGTTCAAATGTGTTATTTCGTACTACCAATTGCTCCTATTGTCATAACGGCATTATGGCGGAATTCTATTCCCTGTTTTAATTTATACATTTTGGAACTACTGTTTTGTATATAAGTTGACGTAGGTCCGTATGAGTTCATGAGTTCAAATTGTGAAATGTATTTCAGGAGTGCATTTGACAGAAGTGAGGCCGGGCAGACCATCTGGTGAATGTTTTGTAGAGTTGGTGAGCCAGGCAGATGTGGACGAAGCTCTCAAAAAGGACAAGGAGAACATGGGGAAACGATATATAGAAGGTAACAAAATAATTAAAATATTTTTAAAGGGTCTGATCTTAATAAAACTTAATCTTGTTAATTTTTTTTGTTTCTTTGATTAATACTGATAAAATTTATTTATGCTTTAAATTCTGAAGCTCCTGTACCGTACATTCATAATGTAATCTTATGTTTTCAGTATTCTCCACGGATCGTCAAGACATGGAGTGGGCTTTGAATGCCATGAACCACTCTGAGAATGGCTTTGGTGGTATTCCTAATTTGAATGATGATATGGGCATTGTTAAACTTCGTGGTTTGCCTTTTGGTTGCTCTAAAGAAGAAATAATCCAGTTCTTTGACGGTAAGGCATAGAACTAATTAATTATATTGTCTGTCTGTCCATATTTCATTTAAAGACTGAATCGGGGAATATTAGGTATCGTCGACCCTGTGGTGGGAAAGATTTTTTGCAACAACACCTTTTATTTAAGGATATAGAATTATTTAATTTCTTTATGAATTGGCTTTAAGTCCTTTTTTATTTGATTTTTATTAAAATTTCATTAAATTTTTTTTGCACACATCATTTGAATCAAGTATTATTTGCGTTTTGAATGTTATAGTAATTAGAATATCCCACCACAACGGGTGTTGCTCAATTTGTGTAACTGATCTTTATTTCAATGTGGGTGGGGCAGGGCTGATGGTGGCCCCCGATGGGGTGCACTTGCTCTACGACTACACGGGCAGGGCCTCGGGCGAGGCGTTTGTACACTTCGTTGACAAGGGGAACGCTCAGGAGGCACTCAACAGGGACAGGGAGAAAATAGGACACAGGTGGGGGGCAAGTTATTTCACATTGCCAATTTTGAGTCTGCTGCACGGATATTAGGCAATGTTGGAATATAAAATAATATCTAAAGACTTTTCATTTAAGTTTTAATGAATTACAGATTTGAATTTTTAAGCTAATATATTTAGTAAAATATAAATTTTGTCATGGGAAATAAAAAAATATTTAAGTGAAAATTTGTTACTCTACTTTTAAAGTGCTGAAATGTGTGATAAAATATTGATATTGTAAATGGCAATATTCATAACTTACCTGATGGTACAATAACTGATTTGACTTGTTACTAAAATCCAAGATAAATGTATAAGAATAATCTATCTAATGTAAAATTATTGAAATAAAAAATATATGTGAAAAGACAATGTTATACAAGTGAGTTATAAGTTGGGGGAAAAGTTCATTGCTTAATATCCATAATGCGGTTGTACGTAACATTGGCAAAAGTACAATTAATTTGGTGTAGAGGGTTAACATTGGGATATTCATAGTGGAACTTTATGGCTTATAGCAAAACATTTTGCTAATAAGTGTACAGCGAAATGGGAAAATTTGGCATATGTTTATTGTTATCTTGCTAAAAAAAATGGGAGAATAAAGTGTACTGTAATCCATAATGTCCACTGACCCGGCCCACATATATAGTTTTTGTTGGGTAAATACTTGTCAAGTTTAATTTAATCTTAGGGAGTTTAGTTATATTACTAAAACATTTGAATGCTGCCAGATTTTATCCAGTTATATTATATTATAACTATAATTCTGATGATGAGGTATTGATAAACTTTTTGTTTTCATCTACATATACATATCAGATATAGAAATATTTCTAAATTTATTTTTGAAGCATATTTTATATTCAAAGTATTGATACAATTAAAGTTATTTTCGTGGTTTAAACTTGGTTATATCGAAGCTGGCAGCATTTATAAGAATGTTTGTGATTGGATATTGAGTTATCAAGGTGTGGGCGAGCGAGGGGAGTGCGCGGGGCGGGGCGGGGCTGGG